AAACTGTCCATTAGACATGTGTCTTTGGGCAAAATGTCTTTAGACAAACTGTCTTTAGACAAAATGTCTTTAGGCAGATTGACCAGGTACCCGTGACTTTACTTATGAAAACCAAACGAACAACATCTATTTGGTTTCCTACAAAAAAAAACATGCAAACCGGCCGGCTACCAGTTTTGCAAAATTTTGCACGCAATGCATTAAAGATTCTAGGCAATTTTAGACGTAATGAATGCATTCGTCAGAATCGTCAGATAATTTCCAGCAAGATACTGATTAAAATTCAGGAAGCAATTTTAAAAATTGATCATATTGCATGGATCACCGTTAGAATAGAGTGGAGCAAGAGTGATTCTGATACCAAAAACCCGATTCGTTTCGAAGAAATTCAGTGTCGGAAAAATTCCCGCAAAAATACACATCAAAATTCCGGGCCACATCAAATGCACCAAAAAAATTGTCGTCAGCAAAAATTATTTAAGAAATACATATGTTTAGCGCTCGGATAAAATCACAGCAGCAGAGAAGTTAAAGTTTCAAAAATTCACTAGGATAATGAAAGTGTCAAAGTGTCAAAAGTGAAAGTGTCAAAATGTCAAAAGTGAAAGTGTCAAAATGTCAAAATATCAAAATACTAGGATAATCAAGCAATCAAGCATGTGTTTAGGAGAGAAGAACCGAAGGTGGAGGTGTGGTAAGCCAGGATACTGTTTTAATGGAGGCGTTGAGAAGATTCCGCGATCAACAACAAGGTGAACCGTCAGGAGCGTCACTGGACGATTACAACGCCCTGATGAAGCGATACGAAGAGGCAATTGAGCGAATCGTCGAGCTCGAGTCTCGTGGTGAGGGTGGATCGAGTAAATTGGCCGCTCTCGAGGCCGAGCTGAAGCGCACTCGAGAACGTCTTGCTGAGAGTCAGGTGAGTGAAATTTTAGTTGTTGTTCAACGTATGCTTCACTCAACAGTTAGCGCTTACAACTGGCTAGATTTCGTGAATCTGTGCGATAGATAGAAATCCATAAATGATAAGAGTTTAGAGCGTNGGGAATGTTCATTTCTGGACAAATTCAACAAGAAAACAACAATCCACTCGTGTGATTGCCAAAATTATTTTAAAAAATAATTCTCACCAATGCGATACTGAGCTTGAGAACTAATTTAGACTGCAAACATATTCGGAATATCAAGTAAATTTTGGAAATTGAACGTAGAATTCATCTGATTTTGAAATACCCGGGATGAGTTCATTCCTATGATATAGAGCAGTAATATTTCGAATGGCGCATGACGGAATGCCCGATGTGATATTTTAAAAATTCCGAATTCTTGTCACCAATTCTGCGGTATCAGAATGTCAAATACAAATGACTAATGTCAAATACAAATGACTAATGTCAAATACAAATGACAAATGTCAAATATAAATGACTAATGTCAAATACAAATGTCAAATGATCTCGATTTTATGCCAAATTAAAAAATTTTTCATATTTTAGGAAGTTCTCCGTAAGCTGCACAATCTCGCTAAAGAGTCCACACATGGTGAAGTGATGAAACGCGCCAG